GTAAAAAGATATTGGGATGTAATTTTGTTCAGGAGATTTGCTGGGTTTTCATAAAAAAATCATGCTTTTTCCTTCAGTATGCACATGTGTTGTACATAAGAGATGCCATACCATGGTTGTTACAAAATGTCCAGGAACACGACAAGACCCAAGCAGTGCAGAAGTAATTCATTATATACTACTATAATCATTTAAACTTTTGTTATTACCCTACTACTTGTATATAGAGGGCCATTGAGTCAAGGTGACAAGAGAGAGAGAGATGAAGGGTGGATGGAGATGGATGAGGAAAAAATGCATTGCGTAAATTTAAAAATTTTTTATTACAGTATATATTAATAAAAAATGTCCATAGAACCATAAATGTTTATTTTGATCAAGCAAATATAAATAGACTGCAATGAAATAGCTTAATAAATTATAATGAGGGAGTGTTTAGTATTATGAATGAATGAACAAGTTAACAAAATTTTGAACGAATGAGTGAATAAACAAATGAATGGATGGATGGATAGATGGATGGAAGAATGCATGAATGAATGACTGAATGGAAAGATAGAAGAAAGGATGAATTTATGAATGGATGAATGCATGCATGGGGTGTAAATAAATGAATGAATGAAATGGCAAGAGCATGTAGGTGTATGAAAAAATGGCTGGGTGAGTCACAGGTGGGTAATCATGACTTTCTGATTCAAGAGAGAGCAACTGAAAAACAATAGAGTAAATGAGTTAGTAAGTGGACAAATGAATGAGTGAATGAACGAAGCAGCTATAATTATAAAGTTACATTGGGATAAAATTTCTATGGATGGTTGTATTTTCAGGTAATCTTTGGCAATGGATCATTTCGATTTAAGATGGATGTACCACATAAGTTTGCCGAACACAACTATAAGCGGCCAACATTCTGTGAACTTTGTGGTTCTTTACTCTATGGGTTACTTCGACAAGGAGTTCAGTGTTCAGGTTTGTAACAGAAAAACATATTTTTGTGTGTGTGAATGTGTGAAACAATTGTTATGTTTCCTAGGTAAACTCGTATCCAATAAACTGGTGGTAGGTTACCGCCCTTTACATTACTATGTGGCCACCCCAGACACAAATTGCATCATGTAGTTTGCAATAGACTGCCGTCAATCAAACACCTCATTCTACTTGGATGTACTCAAACTCTTTGCAATCGCTTTCTGAACTTTCTTTCGTGATATCTGACTGAGAAAGTTTGATAGAAAAGCCAACTTACTGATCCAAACGTGTATAAATGGCGTCAACATGAAAGATTGACGGTAGTCTATTGCAAACTACACGACTCGATTTGTGTCTGGGGTGGCCGCGTATTAATGCAAACGGCTGTAATTGGACGAATTTACTCTGGAACAGGGTCAAGGTTCAGAGGGCTCAGGGGCACATCCCTACCCTCTAAACGGACAATAGTACCCCCTGGGCCTGTCATTTTGGCCTGTAACATTGAACCAGAAATGAAGTATGACCAAGCTAAAACTAATTTAACTAGTTTACCTAGCAAAGAGACAGAAAAAAGCAAGTAAGTTAGTTTCAAATTTATACTCTCTCTGTTTTTTCTAGCTTGCAAGATGAACGTCCACAAAAGGTGCCAAAATTTGGTTGCTAATAACTGTGGTGTTAACCCTAAAGAAATGGCCAAAACACTAGAAATAATGGGGTTGTCTGCAAATGAAATGCATGTTCAATCAGTTCATAGCAAGAAAGTAAGTAAAATCTGTTGTTTACATTTTATCACTTTTTTTTTGCTACATGATTGACAGAGACTTAAGTCAAAATAGCTCAATCTGAAGTAGACTTTGTAAACTACTGCTAATTTGGGGGCCACAGGTGGTGTAGCTGTAAGAGTGCTCACCTTTTATTAAGGCAACCAGAGTTTGAGTCCCACTGGGCTCGGTGTTGTATGTGATCAGATCTAGAGTTGTTTGTAAGTT